CATACAGACTTCAAGATTTTTCAGCCTTTGCAGTCTTTATACATATCAGTAAAATGATCATTGGACTGTTCATTTTATTTTAACAACATATGTACTAAAAGCTATTTTGACAACAAATACTATATATCAGCGGTAGCAGCATCATATGAATTCTGGCATTTTACACATAGTCCACCAGGAGGCGCCAACACAAAAGTCAGAGACTTCACATGAGATTTGGACCATCTTCTGGGGCAAAAGCAGATTACTTCCTACTCGCGAGCACCCCCTCTGGTGGGGAAACTTTTTTCAGGGATACAAACTTTTTCAGAACACCGGCAGACGGCAGCCATTACAGACAAACATGTGTTTGTTGTTGTTCCAGCAGCGGCCCGGTCACACGCTAATGTCATTAGTTCATTTTTTTTTCCGGACTCATGCATTTTGTGAATGAAGTCGATATTTCAGTTAAAATACATAAGTAAAAATATTTATCCGAGTCTAATACTACCCCCAACTTTATGGATGATTTTATGGATTAAATTTTACATATTTGAATTAATATGGTAGTTAAATGCATTTTGAAGCAGTTCAAGCTGTGTGTCTGAGCATAATATTCTGCCACCGAGGCCAAAACACTCTTAGTGAGAATGCTTGGCTGACTGGGTGTGCTTGGACTGCCACACTGTGAAACTGTTAAAGAAGGTTCAAATTGCCAAAAATGCCCTTGCAGAACATAACATGAAATAACCAGTGTTATTAACTCCTCATGCCAGTTGTTTTAATGGCTGATCACCGTRCGCATTCATGTGTGCTCCTGTCTGCTTCAGCAGTTTGGTGACTAGATAGGAACATATGACCATCTGACCAGCTCCATCATCAAGCTGATGCATTTGCTAATTAGCAGCACAAAAGCCTTCGCTGATCTACGTATCTATATTCACCTTGTGTACATCTGGAGCTTAAAACAGCTTACTAATGATAATTAATGAGGCAAAGCTACGAAGCTGCTACTTAACACCTCAGTGCAGCAGCGATGTATCATGGGCCTACTGTCTTCCACGAAGAGTAAGGAGGTCAAGCTACTCAAAGAATTAAAAAAAAGAAGTGTAAAAGACAGAGAATATGAAGGATGAAAGGGGGTGAATTTAAGAAAAGGGGAAAGGACAGAAGAAAAAAAACAGAATGAGAAGTGATGAAATAAGAAAGCAACAGTAAGAGCAACGCAACGAACGACAATGAGAAGGAAAGATGGATCGTACCCGAGGCCTGTCTTAGCGGGTGAGTTGCATTTTCACATTCTGAAAAGGTCAACGCCTCAGTGGTTAACTAAACTGTTTCAGAGCGGCTGATGCAGAACAAGCTCCGGCTCATAAGGAGCATTTCTTTTGACAGATTTGGATGACTTCACTCATGCAGTGTTTTGATGAATACAACAAGCTGGGAGAAATATGCATCGCCACACCACGATTTTAACAAACATAAATAAGTAGGGAGCAAAAACAAACAATAAAAAGGAGGCTGTAAAATTAACATATTCAATGGTGTAGGTGCCGAAACACTTAAAAACTTTGAAAATGATAACTTGCAACTCGTTTGGACAAAAAAATACCACTACAGTAAAAAAGGCAACAATGGTAACTAACCCATAAACAAGGATTTTAGGCTCTTTGGGTTATCGCTAGCCTGGTAAAAACCAGACCCTTGTCCTTCACTTTACTTCATACGAGGGTCTGGACTGTATGTCGATGGGAAGGAGGCTAAGCTAAGAAGCTAACCGGAAATCGCGTGTGTTGTAAACAACCCTACTGAGATGAGAAATATACCGAGCCAAACGAGACGACTGTAAATGAGAGCTGCTGCTTTGTCAGACAAATTTAATTTAATTTGGAAGCCTTATCAACACGGACTGGCTTCATTCACTTCCTACACTGCCATTGCTAACTAACTAGCCGACATTGCGCAGAAAATCGACGTCTGTCAAAACTCCGCCTTCTGTTTGCTGATTGGCCCAGGTAAAATAAACTACAAGCAGACACTGCGCAGAAAATCAACGTTCTGTTCTCTGATTGGATCGGCTAAAAATCTGCCAGCGAAATCCTCGTCTATGGGAGAAATCCCAGACGAAGCAGTGAAGGGAAACTAGAGTTGAGCGGAACTGCGTAGGAAGGCAAGGGCCAGGCTAGGTTATCGCAGTCCTGCAAACTGGTTTATGACATAAATGAAAAAAAAACCTCCAACTTTARAAAGTTATCACAGCATCAATTCCTTATTTTGTTTGTTTGATTTGGATACCAAACTTAGCATGTAAGCGTGACCATTACAAGTCTTTTCTAAACATCATGAACAAATTTTGAGAACAAAAGTACTTTTAAATTTTCAAATAGGTTTACTGTTTTATTTTAGATTTCTTCAAATTCAAAACATATTTAAAAGGCATTGAATGTAAAACCATACAAACAAGCACTCCCAGGTAATAATTAGGAATCGGCCTCACAGATTGTTGCTAATAATGGGATTGATGCTGTTTATGCCGTACAAAAAATAAACAAACACACACAAATAAACAAAACTAAGTCTGGTCCCTTCAAAGCTCATATCAAGGGAGGTTATTTGGCAGTCACTTTGTCTTTGCCGTCAATCATGTACTGCATTAAATCATTTGTGGGACATGAAATATGCTAAGTGGAAAGCTACAACATACAAAATGAATGAGCACCTTAATTAACAAGCAGGCAGAATGCAATCAGTAACAGAATAAGCAGGGAGGCTTGTAGACAGAAATGAAAAATAAAGCAAACAAACCTGTTTTTCTATTACATTTTTCACTGTTTTTTTTTTTTAATATTCTCCGATATTTCCCATTTCCTTGAATCTAAATGAAGTTATCTGAACCCACCCCCAGGGCCAAGTCGCGGCCCAGTCGGCTTTACCAGCCCAATGCTGGGATTCGCCGGAGCGTGGCAAATTTGTTTGTCTCTGCGTTTGTTTGTGCTTGTGTTTGTTTCTCTCATTGTTTGTGTTTATATGCCTTTCCGTTGATGGCCTTCTCAAGTGTTTCTCCGACTCTGGCAATTTTCTGCCTGGTCGCCCCTAATGTGCTTCTCTGTTTATCTGCTGTCACAAAAGAGCTGATTTATATATATTTACAAATCCAGGAAGTGACAGTAGAGAATTATGCTTACCTTAAAAGCGCAAAAAAATAAAAATAAAAAACTAGTTATCTGTTTACACGCTCAAAGAAGGAAAAAAATGTGATATTTTGTGGTTTACCAATGCCACACATTCACAGATGCTATGAATTTTATCAGATATGAAGTGAAGTCAGCCTCAAGAAATATGACAAATGCCTTTGGGAATATAACCAGTGTAGTGTGAATTCAATCACTTTGGCAACTGACTGCTAATGACACAGGGGGAAACTTTTTTCAGGCAGCAGTGATGGGCAATATTGCCTTCAGCAGGGGCTACGAACTGGCAAATTGGAACAAAATCGAGACTAGAGGAGATAAATGTGTGACAAAACTACTGCAGTTGGCTAAGGCGAGCATATGCATGGCCCCGAAATAGTATCTATTCAATGATTGAAAAAAATAACCATAAGGATACATCCAAACGCATGCATCTGAAGCCTGAAGCTGTCTCTTCAATGTCTGCCGTGTCAATAACAATAATCCATGGAAGAATGTGGCACAAGTACGACTGTCTGTGTGTCTATTAAAATTCAWCAAACTCCCTCCTGACATTCAAAGTGTCTTTGTAACCATGGCAACGTCTGCATCSAAAGGATGTTTTTAAGGCGAAAAATAAAAAAAAGAAGACAATAACAATAATAACCAGTGAATTGATGTTGCTTTTAAAACAAATCGGCATACGTCAGGCTGATCTGTTCACAAACGAGTGCCCTTCAAAACCTTATTTTTTGTTGCTTTATTGCTTCTCTCTACACTTTTAACTCCTTTAAACCCAAGCCAGTTTTTATTGGTTTACAGTCACAATGCAGATATTTCATACCTTTTGTTTGGTTTTACAGATAYGTTTTATAACACATCAATAGAATCTGCTAAACATAAAACCAGGAAATGGGCGCACAAAGTTACATATTTGTATTCTGATTGAACTCCTCCATCGGCTCAGGTTTTAGCTTTTGTAAAGAATAGATGAAGCAACCATAGGGGGAAACACACACACACACACACACACAAACAAAAATCACAACAAAATCAGCAAGAGAACAAACAAGTTAGAGTGTTTGCATGAAAAAAGTACTTAATAATTAGGAAATACTAAAAAAAAAAGGTGACAAAAAGAATTAGTGAGAACAACACAAACTGTTTGGAGTTAAATTAAGCACCTTTCTTAGTTAAAAATATAGAAACAGTGGGTAAAGCTTATTCTTTACTTTCTTTAATACATCTGAAGGACACCTAACTTTTGGTATTAAGCCATGGTGATAGAGATCGACACTGACAGAGGGTAAGTAAAAACGAATCAGCTCATGGAAGGATACGGGTTTTCATGCAAATATAACATTTGGATGCTTCCATTTGCACACTCATTCACTCCAACTTGTTTATAAGTGARTAAATCTAGTGCTCCTTAGAGTGCAAAAGCTGCCACTGGGCCACTCACAGCACCRCTCATTCATCTACTCCCATACAAACAGCCTGTAATGCTGTACAGGACCCAGCTGCATCCTTGGAATACTATGCAGCCATACATTTTTGCATGTGTATTTGTACGTGCCATATCCTCATGAATGTTCTCACATTATTTTAAATGACCATTTATGAATCCTTGTGTATTTTGTAGAGCATAAAAGGACGATATGTTTACATAAAGCCACATATATCACCCTCAAAAGGTTCTGCGCAGTTGCATCAACTTGAATCTTGGTAAAACCCCAATATGCAGTCATCTGAGTTATCGCTTTGTTTRATGTTTAAATGAGGACAAGCCTCTTCAGTACCTGTGTGTTCATCATCATGTTTTTAAATTTGTGTGCGTGCTCGGCCCCTCACCTGCGATGTGTTGACTCGTCCCTCCTGGAAGGAGCAGTCGTTGGCATCCTGTGTGCACATGTGGCGATATTTGCACCAGTGGCAGGGGAAGTTGGCATTAACACAAGACAGGCACCTGGACGCGAAGGAGAATAAGAGAGAAAGTTTACTGGGTTATATTTTAATGCAACAAGAGACAAAAATGACTTTWATTAGATTAACGGGTAGTTTAATCATTTTTAAATGATGTTTGYCAATGAGTCTATAATTGGCAGAAAGGTATGTGCCTTGTTAGTAGGTCTGCACAACGTTAGGAAAACCTGTGATGTGCGATAACAGTGCTTAATACTGGGATGACGATATGATTTGCGATAAATAAACAAACACAAATATGTAATGTTGATGTATTTCTSTTCTGGGTTCAAAGCAAAAAAACAACAAAAAAAACTTTTAGATTCCGGCATGAATTTTTTTAAAATATGAAGAGATCCGTTCAATTGACCAAATAAATGCAAACTTTTATTGCAGTTTAATGTAGTTTATACAGTTTTTTGCAATATGTCTATTGCACAGGCTGTTATCTACGGAGCCCGCGAAAGGACATGGGGGTATTTTTTTCTTTTGTATTACCTCGCAATTTTTTTTTTTGCATTCCCATGCAAAAGTTTGATTTGTATATGAACTGAATTAAATCAGACTTTTATTTTGAAATATCCAGTTACCAAAACAGGATGTGTCGCCACAAGTTTGTGAAATTGACATTGATGTTGCGTGGCTGCACTGTGTTAAAATATCAGCATATGACATACTTCCATGCGTGGCTGTGTGAWATATTCTTTCTGAAGCTGAATTAAAGCAGTAGGCTAACTCGCTAATGGTGAACATGTGAGTTTGTTAATAAACCGGCAGGCACAACAGTGATAAACTACTTGTGCGAGGGAACGCAAAAGGTATTGCGAGGTAACGCAAAAGAAAAAAATCCCCCATGTCCCCTCGCGGGCTCAGTAGTCACCGCCATGATGATAAATTTTCGATATTTTGTGCAGCCCTACTTACTCGCTATAAAAAAATTCTCTGTCCAGGCTAGACTAATGGCCAAATTATTACTTTGTTTTTGTTAGTTTTGTTTTTCAAGCTTATGAAATGTTGTTTTCCCAAAAAACATACTGTGAGAAAGAATACAACATTTGCTAATATTAAACCATAACTTTTGCATTGTTCCGTTTGTTTAGTTTGCTATTATTCAACGAAACACCATCCGTGTTGTGCTCTGTGCACAGCTCCTGTATGAACCATTGGGGCTGAGGATGCAAATGTATTCTATCAATGTGTTCAGTGTGTCCAAAAGCGTACTTGACATCTGGCAGACAAAAACATAAAAATGCTTAAAATGTGACAAAAGGGCCATATTAGCTACATTTGTGCGTGTGTTTTGTGTTTTTCAAAATAAAACTAAACTCTTACACTTCAAATTAGCACTGGACAAAGTTGAATCACAAAGTCTACACAACTACAGTGTGCAATAAAGAAAATAAAGTGACAAAAAAAAATAATGATCATATTTATGCTAAAGTAAACCCAGCTAGACTGACTTAAAATTCTTTTAGACCATGCACAATAAGCTCAAGAGAACTTCTGTCAACAAAGTTAAGAGGAGTGTGGAAACAGATCAAAAGGAAAACCTTCAACTTGCGGGTGTACATCACACTATGACAGCATCAGCACAGTCGCACACATCAAATGTTTATGACTAAATCTCTAGAAATCACGTTGGGATGACAAGTGTAACTATGGCCTTTTGCATTAAGATTTTATTTCAGCTGTCAGCGAGGCCAAGGCGGCTGCCGAAAACAGCTGAGAGGGAGAGCAGTCGTAGTCAAAGCAGCACTCCTTCCTTCTTATTCTCCATGCTTGGAGGCTTAGAGAGAACTAAGCTGGCAGACCAAGATAAGCCTGGTTTTTATATAACAATTTTTTTGTCATTTTTATTCATTCTGAGTTGAGGAGGCAAAATGAATACATACACATTCAATCATGGATTACAGACAAAAACAAGGATATCACTGAGGCCAGAATGATGGAATAGAAGGAAACATTGTCCACAAATGCAATGGCTAGTTGCAACGTTTTATATTTGCTTAATGTAAGAAGTTTACAGACAGTAGCTCCTCAGTTTATAATAGGAAAGAGAGAAACAAAAAGTTGTGATCAAAGTTTTTGGTTCATTCACTTTTTTTTTACACACTTTTTATTTTAAGTAAAGTGCTAGAATAAATTATATTGTTTTCATTTGAAGTCACATGAGCAAACATTTGTGATTTTTGGACATCCAACACAATCAGCACGATCAACTTCAAAGAATGTATTAAAGGGATCCACGATTAGTTGTAACATTAAACTTTATTTGATAAACATTAACTGTAAAATAAAGACTTTAAAAATACTGTAGGCTGTTTAGTTTTTATGACTTTTAAACAAAAATTTAAAAAAATAAATTACACGGACGGAGCCATTATATTTAAACGCAAAGCATTCTGGGTAAACGATGGCCTCAACAGGTCTTTGGTGCGAGGCTGCTAGCGAGCTATATCCACAGGACCTCAGTTTAGCCTGTTAATTTGTCGCACTTGTGCCGAGCTAATACATGTAAGGCAATATAGCGTTGGCGCTAAAGCTAAATGGCTAAGCTGAGGTTCTTCTTCCATGAAGCAGCTCTGTTGTCCTC